TTTAAGCCATCCAAACCCAAGAACAGAGTGGAAAGGGATCAAGGAGCCATATGGAACCCCACAATGATCAGGAAACAAGGAAGCATGGGTGAGTGGGTAGGCACCAGGCAGCACCTGGTACTCACAGTCTCAATGACACGAAGTAATTGTTATGCCTGTGATCTCAGGCAAAGGTGGAGCACCTGTCCACATGGGCGAAGCCACCAGCAGTAGAGCTCCTACATGTGCCCAGAGCCTGGTCAGTGATGGCAGTGACTGYTAGGAAGAGGCACTTCCTAGCACGGGACAAAGCAAAAATATCCCCATAAACAGAGCTATAATTAAACCAAAAGCACACCCAGCCAGAGCTGGTCACTCAGCCTTCTCTACACTTCATTTAGGCAAATAAAGTATTGTTCCAGGAAAAGTACAAACATCCAGGCAGTTGTGACCCCATAAAAACTCAATTACGTAGGAGTTAACGTCAATATAAAACAGCTTTTTTCATTTACTGTAAATCTCGGCATTTAAAACTGGGTTCTCTGGCTGCAGAAGATTAGACAACCAAATCTGAACTTTAGACTCTTTAAGGGAGGCAAAGGTTCTCTTTTGCCTTCTGCTGTAAGCAATTTCATCTCCCACCCAAACAATTAGCAATTGACTCCAAAACGTGCTCTTCAGCGGTTCCTTGCCCAGCGCTTCCTGCACCTTTCCTTGGCGAAACAACCAGAGCACATCTGCAGTTGAGCTGAGGCAGGACAACACCCAGCAGATTTCAAATGCAGCACCATTTAAAATGTACCAGTTTATGCAGGTGTAACTTGAACCTGGATACATGCCTTGGCACCCTGGGGTTGGAAGCTGCCGCTTTTGTTCAGGTGTGACCCAGACTCAAACTAAGTCCATCGTTAGGTTTATGAAGCATCCATCTATTGTTTATGAACCTCTACAGCAACATTCCCAACATCACAAGTTCTCTCAGATGTAGTGGTTTTCCCTCATGGTTTGGGGTTTTGGCTTGCTTGTTTTCTGGACCATCTAGGACTGGCACTAAGGCTGACTCCTGGAAGACACCGTAAAGCAGAAGTGTCCAGCCTTTCAAATCCTAACCAGCTGTACACTAAAATCTTTGCATGGCCAAGAACCACAAGTCACACACTGCAGATCGAGAGAATGCAGCCCAGGAAAACTTCACAGACAGATGGCAGCCAGCTACTCTTAAGTACCACTGGGAGACTGGGCTGGATTTCTCACACAGCCTGCTCTCAGTGACCCTCTGCCACCAAACTTAACCTCCATATATTTGAAGTAATTCAGATCAGAGATTGTGGGCCAGCCCAATACTGGTCATGAAACAAAATCATGACTTGAATAGGTCACAGTCCACATGTGGTTCTGGCACTACAAGCTGATTCCCTTGGGCCACAACTTTTGTGATTTTTCGCATTTTGCTTTTTAAAGGAATGACTTTACTTCCTCACATTTATTAGCATTCAGATCTACTGTACACAGGGCTTGTTTCCTCCACATTGCTTCCTCCTGCAGTTTCTGGAACCACCTTTCATTGGTTCCATTTCTGTCCATGTTTGAAACCGGTTTCAACCRGCCATGGTCAAACCACACCCCATATGACTGCAGACCACAGAGTATGCACTGCATCAAGCCATCTTGCTGAAGCAGTGGTTTGYAATATGGTTGATAGTTTGTCTGAAAACTCTTATCCACAAGAGACACTGAAATAGTGCTAAAAGGCAGGCAAGTTCCAGAAACGTTAGGATGTTTGTGCTGCAGACTTCTGGACAGTGTAGCTCTGTTGACAGATGTGATCCCTGACCAAAAGGAGCGATGCCAGCAGCAGCTTCCAGTGCAAGGACAGCACCTTTACCAGTTTCATGGACSGAAGGTGGAGTGGTATTGAGACACCATACTAGGAAGCCTATAATTTGTCCCATCAGATGAGTAATCCTCCTGAGATCCAGTAAAGACCTCTTAATGAAGGAACTGCCCTAAGGATCAGCAAACTAAGACTGTGTTCAATTTGGCTCTAGTTTCCCAAGGAATGCGGGAAGGCAGGGGGGAAAGAGATCAGGAAAGACAAGTGTAATGAGTCAGTCTTTGGAAACCAGGCTAACAGATTTGACTCTAGTTACCTCATTTACAGGCTGGTTCTAGAGCTGTGGCCAGAGCACTCATGGTTTTAAACTGGGCCAGACAAATTTGGGACTCTGCCTCTGCTCAATGTCCCCAAGTCAATACTACAGCTAAGCTCATTCTGTTAAGCTCTSTCACAAATACTTCCCCAGCCCTTGGTGAAAACACTGGTCCCGGATTTCCAGCTCCAGAGTCCTCTCAGCCTCCACCCTGTGGAGAGCCAAAGACCTCTTCCTCCTCAACACCACTGACCATCCCTTTGGGTCTACCCTGCAAGAAGGAAGGCTCAAGAGAAGCCATTATACTCCATAAGCCTGCAGCCTTCTCCCACCTGTACAGTCAGTGGACATCCTTCCTAGCCCATACGAAATCCTTTCAGATCTCCCATGAAACTCTCCACTGGTTCCTCTTCTATCTCTGCTATGCAACTTGGCCTTCAATTTGCCACCCACCGCTTCCAGCTTTCCATAGCCCATAGYTCTGTCAGACCTGACCTTTCTTCCACCAGGCACATGTGGAGAATGAGTTTCAGGGCAGGAAGCAGAGCTGCTTCAGTGACAAAAGGTCACTGCACTGAGCGGTGAAGAATTAGAGAAGAAACATTTGAACAGCAAGTGGCAAGAATCACCCTGTAAGCAGTAAACCCCAAACCCTTTACTCACAATTTGGGCAAGTAACCACACTGGATGTAAATTGCTTTGTTGGTGCTGGGACAGCTAATGTGTCTCTTTCTGCCTTACTACAAGCCAGCCATGACTGACACACAGGCAGGGCGGAGGGACACTCATTAATGAAGTTACCCATTTGCTAAGGTAATCCATCCCAACACTTAAGAAGGGAAGTTTTATGTAACAGTGCTTGGCCAATGCATGATAAACAAAGAGAGAGGTTAAGGTGCAAGAGGTATCCCTTTGCTTACAGCCAGCACAAGGTGATAAGGCATAGGGAATGGTCTTAAATTGCTTCATGAGATGACTGTCATTGCAGCTGGGTTACAGAGCTTTGAAGTCAGACAGCTCTTCTGCTGTGCCACAAGTATTGGTTCCAGAAACCTCAGCTGCCTCGAGGTCACCTTCACACACCGCCTTAAGCTCATAGAACATAACTGTACTAATGGATTAATTTTCTGACAAAACCTTTAAATCCTCATCCCTTTTTATTAAACCCATAGAAATGTTCTCACCAATGTCCCACTAACAGAAGGTAGACATCCCAGCATCCTATTTCTATCCACTGCACAGCTCCTGACTGCCTCATCCCTGCTCTGTTCCTCCAGGCCTGCCCAGCTTCATGCTCTGCAGGGTGTTTTCTGCAAAGACACATCACACCTGGAGGGATTAAAGGCAGATGATATGCAAGAAATGCCAAGGAAGCAGGAAGCAGTGTCAGGATGGAGCAGTAGACAACTCCTTGCAATAGTAAGCAGGACAAAGCCTAACACAACATGGTCCATCTAAAAGGCAGTAACAGCTTTACTTGGCAAAGGAAAACATGGACTCCTCCAGTCACACAGCTCTTTTTTAAACTCATGATATTGTGCAAAGAAATATCTGACTTTTCCCCTGCCAAGGTAAAAAACGAGGCACTGCTTCGTGCATGCTAAAATACTTGGTCACTGACAGATTTTCATTAAAAAATTATTTTATTCCAACACAGGAAAGGATTGTGTTTCATAGGAAGATTCATCTTAACCTCAAAATTAATATGCCCCATTATCACCTTGTGGGATCTGTGTTTAGATGGATAAACTCGGCTGACACAGTCACGTATCCCAAGCATGTTTTGTTCCTGGGAGACAGAACAGTGCTGGTTTACATGACAGGAAATACCTGGCTTCTTAGGTAGAGCCTGCAGTACCTCACTGATCTTTCTGTGGAGGCTTCATGGSTCTACCAGCAACCAACAGAAATCCAACAGCCAGCTAGACCTGAGGTCAGAGTCCAAGTCAAGGCTCTAATTTCTATCAACAYTGAGAGAAAGCTATCCAGGGAGGCACCCAAGCGAGCATCCTAYTCAGTGCACAAAGTTTAAAGAGCTGGGGCAGGGTCCTGAGGCAGGAGAGGATTTCCGTAAAACAGGGCAGACAGCCTTTAGCTTGCTGTTAGGCTAATGYCTGTGTTTACAGCCTGGCAGCAACGAGCATAATATGTTTTAGCATAATCTCTGCATGGAGAGGTCTGATCCCCTTCAAGATGCACAAGAGGTGCTGCAAAGTGACAGTCAAGCACCAACCACAGATGTGCCTGCACAAATTATGCCAAAGAGGCGGAAAGAAAAGAACACAGAAACTGTGCTCGTTTATCCAGGAATATGAACTAGTCTGTGAGGTCAGTTACACAGGACCTTGCTGCACTGAACCCTGGCAACTTGTCAAGTTTGGCACTAAGCAGAGCCACATCAGCCAGCCTGTGGGAGTGATGTCACGCTGCCCAGACCTCAGAGCAGCCCCTGGATATCTGCTAATTCATCTTCWGGCTATGCCCTCCAGCACTGCCGGGGGACTTGCAGTGTTAACAGCCCTCCCCAGTACAAGTTGACCCATCTGCTTCATCAATCTGGCCTTGTGAGATGAAGGCAGGAGGCTGCAGCTTAATCTGAGATCAAGCCAGTACTCTCCCACAGGGAACTGTGCATGCTATAACACTGCTTTAAGACAACAGCTATATCAGAGGTACTTCATTATTTTAAAATAGTTGATAATCTGTTATCTAAATGTGAAAAATTAAATATTCTTCCTTTCCTCCATCCCCTCCCCACTTCTATCCCTCTTTTCCCATCCCACAGCCCTCTTGGTAAGGCAAAGTATGGTATTAAATTTCATTAATTGTTCCCAGGAAATATCCCCTCCTTCAGTGTACTGCAAACCCTACCTTGGTTGAGGTAGGTCAGGGTTTCTTCGTGCAGTTTCACGGCGGGTGAGGTGGCCGTGCAGAGGACATACTGGAAGGGTGGCAGTTTGGCATCATTCTCAGGAGACAGCTGTGGCTCTTCCTGCTTGAAGATCGGCAGCGCAAGGACATCTCTGCAATGTACAATTCATACAGTTAGCTGCAAAGACTTGATGGACTATCCCAGCCTCAATCTGCATTTGCCTCTCATGATCTGAGATAAWGGGGTTAGTGTCTGGAGAAACATTGGGTTAAAATGGCTAAAGGAGGAAGAATTTGGCCTGTGTAACATAACTAGGCAACCTCTGCCTCTAGGATATCAGCATTGCACACAAAATATCATAGCACTGGCAAAACAGAGTATGTCTGAAAAATCAATGTAAGATTTTAAGAAATAAATCAGATTTACTTTTCAGTTAAGTAGTCTTCTTGATCAGGAAAAAGAATATCAAAAATAGATTCTTCATCCTTGTGGACATACATTTGCTTAAGAGTTCTCAGGTTCTCAGATGAAAGCTTTTCAGAAGAAAAAAAAAAGCAAGAAGGGGCACTTTCACAGCTGAATGYCAGATTAGTAAAATGTCTTCAAGTAGCAGCCAAGGATGAGAAGTAGACACAGCTCTGGTGTAAAAAGGAGATGTTCAGGTAAACAATGGCATGAASTCATGGATTAATTGACTCATAAGATATCCCTGCATTCTAATAAACCTGGTCCCAAGGAATCACACAGCTCTTAAGCTGSCAGTGGGCTACCTTCATAAATGCACACGCAGGGGCATGGGAGCAGCTTCACTAGGACCTGCACACAGGCCCTGYTCTTAATTCTTTACAAGATGTTGACACTGACGTGCCTGCTGATCTAGCTCCWAGCTGATCCCAACCCACACTAATCCCCAAGCAGAACTGGTATTAGCAAGGCTGAGAGCTCAACAAATGATCAGCTGATTAGTACAAAATGAGATGTCAGGAATAAGCGTCCTTATCTCAATCTGGCTGGTACTGAAGAACCATATCAGCCTTTCCTATACCACTAAGACTGCTGATCACTGTGTCCACCAACTTCAATCATTAATACCTTTCCAAATTACGAGGATTATGCTGAACACAGCGACAATTCAGAATAAGTGATTCTTTTTCTCTTCTATTTCTTCCAGGTGTGTGAAGACTTGAGATTCCCTTTACAGAGGCTGAAGTTATGCTCTTTTGACAATCCCATACATAAAATGGTTTAAGGAAACTATCCAGCATGTACAGGCATGCACCCTGAAAGGGCATTAAGAATTTTTTCCCTTGCCTGTTCAGTTAATGATCCACTCATAGCACCTACAACCTTGAAGGCTACCCAGGTCATCAGTGAAACAGTGGTGCAGTTTAGCGTAAACTGCTCAAGTACCTGKTTCAAACACAGGTACTCCTATTTATGGGAAAACAAAGCCAGAGAGTAAACTGTGCCATTTCAGATGCAGACAGGAGAAAAGAAACGCCAATCCCTGTTTCCATTCTCTTTTCCAACCCCACACCCTCCATATTATCACCATCCCCACTCCAAGGCATCCAGCCCCATTTGCTTCCTGGCATTACTGACATAATCACAGCGCTTGCCTAACTGCTGCCACAGAGAGGGGTTTTTTTCCTTAGCAGATGATTTACTACAGTAATGAAGTGACAGAAATGCCTGCAGTAGATTTCTGAAATAGATAGCATTGCTCCACACACATGCAGGATCTGATACCACTCTGGAGTCATCTTGCTCACCCCGGATGCCAACATTTGCTCCCAACCCGCTCGTCTGCACAATGCTCTCTGAATGCCTGTGGTTTTACAGATGAAAACAGGTCAAAAACTCTGGCTCCCAAAAACTTCTGCAGTTCGGCAAGAACAGTGCACAAAATCCAGCCCGTGTTTAACAGCTGGGGGTGAGGAATCTGTACACCTAGTCACCCGAAACAGCTGAGAAATTTAGGCAAGGGGAAGTCAAAATTTAAATACAAAAAAAAAAAAAATACACATCAGGTTCTTTGCCCCCTTACACCTGCCAGAGCAACTGTCTGACGGCTGAAGACTATAAGCATGGAGAAATCCATGACATGGTTTCTGGAAAGCTTCACCATATTAAAGCTCCAACGACACCCACAAGTTAATCACAATTTTATTCCTAGAGCATCTGAGCTAACGGCCTGTGGTATGGTTGCTTTGGGTCAAGACCTTCTTAAACATTTGACCTTATCATGTTTGGAACTTAGAATAAGGTCAAAAGTCTCCCAAGTTTCACCTTTATGCTAAAAAACTTACAATTCTGGTCATAAACGACAGTTAGTTTGCATACCTGGGAAGAAAGAGTTATCTGAGAGTTCAGTCAGCTAAAAGGACAAAGTAAAACACATASTGGATTTTCATTAAAAATGAATGAAGATTTACAAGAATTTTTCTGTAGTATCATCTTGCTCTAGCTACAAATACCACTGAGGTACAGCAGAACTTACACGTACATCTCAGATACAGAGAAAACTCTTGATGTCTGTGAAGTATAATTTATCCAAACTTTTCTGACAGCAACTTAATGTATTGTACTATTTCAGTTTCTTGTGCAGTCACTACAAGGGGATAGGGAAAGCCTTCAGAAAGGCATAGCTCAGCAGAAAAATGCCCCTGTTAGAAATGCATGTCTTGACTCATTCTCATGGAAAGTAAATTGGCCAGAGCCAGCCATTTCTACATAAAAAACCCAAGAGTTTTGTTAAACCAACCTTCCCTGAAACACCTAAGGGCATTGTTGCCATGAACTCGTTTTAGGGATTTTAGTCCCAGACCAAACCCACCATAGTCCCAGCAGCAGATACTCACTAAAGCTTAAGTTTGTTTCTAAAACACCAACAGGTCACCTCCATATCAGCAGCCTTCCTCATAGAACAGGTATCCTTTATCCCCCCCAGCTAGCACCAAGCCAGCAAAAATAAGCTAATGTGTTTTCTGGCCCATTAAATGGAATTTAAACTGTGGAGTCAAGCCTAACCCAGACCTGATGATCTTGTACCACTCATGCTACAAATCCATGGAGTTAATGAAGYAGCCTATAACCAGAACATAAACACCCTCTCATGGAGAATATGCACAAGCACCAAAGCTGATGCTACTACCGTTCTCACTGYCCTAAACGAATCAGATTTGCAGGCGCAAAGCAAGAGAGAACAAGACTTTTGCCACATGCATGTTGTGAAACTGAGTTATTGACACAGAGGGAGGAGACGAAGAATCTTGTATTAAGAAGTGGAAAAGCTGCCAGAAGGCACGAATCTCCCAGTATTGTATCATTTGATAATGAGAGATTAATATTTAGACCAAAATAAAATTCCTTTGCACGTACACTGATAGGCAGCAGGAAGTCAAGATAATGCATCCCTTACAAGGAGACACGCTATCTGTGCTCGAAGTGCTTCCCCAGACAAACTCGATGTTCTCTCAAGAGTGGTTATTTGGGGGTACATTTGAAAGTCAGGGTTCTTGGGCCACAGCCAGGTTTTCCACTACCACAATTCAGCAAAATCCCAGTCCAGCAATCAACACCAGCTGACGGCTGAGCTCTACATCTTCAGAAAGCAARTAATTCATAAGCACCCAGCAAAAAGGGAACTCCCAAAGTTGCCTGCTTTGACATCGTTTGGAGGGAGGAAACACGGATTTGTGCTACACATGTTACAGACTATTGTTTAGCAGCCCTTGTACTTAAATTAGGCACATTTAATTGAACGCAACTGTGTGGAGGCAGGAAAAAGCTGGTTTAGGCAAGTTCAGAAAGCGAAATTCTGCGCTTTTCACACATCGTCCCAAAAAGCAGAGAAAGAAATCCCATCCCCAGAAAACTGGGTGCCTTCTCAATTTGCCAACAGGCGTTTTCCGCACATTTCTGACAGCGCTCCGCCGCTGCCGCACCTCCTCGCTTGAAAGCTGCGCTATCCCAGCCCGGAGAAGAGGGAATCCGRCACAAGCAATAAGGCAGCGCTGCAGGGAGCTGCCTAACGAGGCGCTAWAAGAAATAACGAAGGRAAAAAAAATAAAAAAGGAAAAAAAAGTATAGAAGTCCCTCAGACAGAGGGAGCAGCGCTGCCCCGGGGAGGCGCGGCGGGGCASCGGGAGTGCCGCCGAGAAACCCAGCGGGCGGGACCGGGGGCACCCGACCGAACAAACACCCACCAAACACCGTGCCAGGGCTGCCGCCGCCCGGGACTCACCGCAGGTAGCTGCCGGTCGAGTGCTGGTTGTAATGCTCCGGCTGCGTGTGCCAAAACAGCATCTTGGGGGCGGCCGACGGCGGTCCCTGCGCTGCGGAGGGGCGGCCGCGCTGCCCACCCCCGGGGTGCCCGGCACGGCTGCCGACAGCTGGAGCCGCGGCCTCAGCGGCTCCCGGCGCTTTTATAGCTCAGCCCCGGCGGGCGCGGGTTGGCCGGGCCGGGGCGCCGGAGCCTGGCGAGCCCTCCCCCGGCCCGCCCCAGCGCCAGCCCCGGCCCCCGGCGGGCACAGGGCCGCGCAGCCCCGGGGCGGAGCGCCGGGCCCGGGGGAAGGGCCTGGCCCGGRGCCGGGTGTGAGGGGTGTGAGGGGCCGGGGGGTGGGCGCGGCAACCCCGGGACAACCCCGGGACAACCACGGGCGACCCCCGGCTGTGCTGGAGCTGCCGCCTGGCTCTGAACTGTTGGTGTTTTAAACGGAGCTTCCCCATCCGACACCGGTGTGAAAGCCCTGCTCAGGTTCCTCGGAGGTCCCTGTTTTCTTTGATGAACGACAGCTGATGGATTTAGCTCAGTGCTGTCTCTTACACTGCCCCGTGCCTCATTTCAACGCGACCTTTRTGTCAGGGGGTCTTTTCCAAGTGAGAGAGCAAGAGGCACATTTTGCCAGAAGAGGTGCGTGCACAAGAGAGCAGCGTCAAAGACTAAACTTACCCCTAACCCATTCGAAAACCTCCTGTCCTTTCTACCTCGACTCCCTTGCATATTATGAATAAATCTGTTTCTTTTGCATTTCAAATTGCAGATCCTGATCCTCTCCCACAAAGCTGCCCATAGCTGTCATTTTCCTAAGCCCCTGCTCTCAAGGCAACTTCCCATCCCACCAATCCTTCTCTGGTCTGATCTTTTGGGGAGGGGGAACAAAAGTGTTGAGGAGCTCCCTGTTTGGTCATTTCCTATTGTCTATCCACTAGCAGAAGTGGAAACAGATTCTTAATTACTYTGAGTCATTAAACATCTTCCAATCAGTTGTTTTTTCAGGAGAGGGCTTCCCATCCCTGAGATTCCTGGTCAAATTTCAGCTGAGAAAAAGGCACTTTACTCAGGGTAGTTGGTTGGCATTCACTTTCAGATTTCACTGTCAGATGAGWTTTTTCAGACCTATGAATTTTCTATTCTGCTATGATTATAGAATATTGATATTGTCATAGCATTTATAGATCATAGTTAAGTCGAGCCCAATAGAATCAGATGCAGTATAACTATAGGCATTGGTTGTTCATACCTTAAGGTAAAAAACAAGGTAACCTGAAAGGTACAGCTTTACAGAGATACTGAGTCTAAAAGTTTTTTCAGATGCATTGTTTATATCTGCTTGTCTGTTAATTTCAGACTAAGAAATAGCACAAATCAATGTGACTTTAAGTTAGTTTCTCTTTCCTCAGTTTTTATGCAGTTAGACAAACACTRGTTCTAACAAAGCAAAATAGCTGGAGTTATCTTTTTTATAGTCTTGAAAATATTTAGCTCTGCACACACTACATCTGCGACCTTGATTAAGCAAAGACTGTGTATGGCTCTTGGACAGAGAAATAAGGCAAAGATTGCTGAGCTGTCCAAGGATTTCTCTAAACAGTAAATATCCTTCCACAGTTTAAGTAGTTTGCTGCACCAGCTGGGGAAATACAAAGTCCAGTATAAAAGTAAATTGCCACACTGTATGAAACAAAGGATCCCATCAAGTCTGGCATGTTATATTTACTATCTTTCTAGAAAGTACATATGTTGGGGTGAAAATTGCTTTAAAATAATCCCACTCATTTCCTCTCTTAGCCTATTGATAAATGCAGAAAATGAGGTGAGATCTACTAATTAATTTTACAGAGATTCTGGCAGCAGCTCTGTCTTCTAAATGTTCCTGTCCTTCCCATTACTTTCTAAGCCAAATCTGATGAAGAAAAATTCTTGTTCCTTGTCTACCTCTCCTGAAAGAAATCTCAGCTGTCTTCTGGTCTKCTGCTGCTCTTCCCCCTGGTGCAGAAGTTTGTACCACAGCATCAAATACCTTCTCCTGACCTTCAGAACCCACCACATCATATYGGTCAAATCATCCACTGGTCCCTTCTGGGGGTCCTTGATCACCCAGCATCTCCTCTTCCTCTTACCTTATCACAACCCTTCAGTGAAGAAGTCTTCTSCACCACAGGTTTCTCACCCAAACGTCCCTTTGCTCTCCTACTCCCTCCCAAATCAAAGTAATTTGTTTGTAGTGCTGATTGCTCTTCATCTCTCATTTTACATGCTTGTTCAATTTGCCAYGGTAAAATACTTTGATCATATGATTAAAAGGAGCTGATTGAATATTTTGTTTGATGGATTTTTCTACTTGAGGGARAGGGAAGGGACCTCGGGATACTTTTYGTGTTGAAAAAARGCATTTTAAAAATAGMTRTCTTTTCCTGTGGAGGTTTGTACCTGGAAACCCAAGTACTGTGCCAGTGATTTCAGTCCAAAAGTTCATTGTGCTGCTTCACTGTCCATTGCAATCCCTTTAGCTAAGCACTGAGTGGGAAACATCTTTCATCTGCTTCACTGGAGAGTCGAGAGGTTTTATTCAGTTTTTCAGCACCTGGAGCCAAACCAGTAGAATTTGCAGTGAAGTGACTGAGATACAGTCACATACTCTGTTCCATTTCGGCTCTGGAAGAGCAGTGTTCCCATTAGCCAAGGGGCTAAAGGGATGTGAGCATGATAACACTGCAGAAATTGCTACAGATCTTTAAAAAAAAATTAAACAATTAAATCCCACGAAACTGAAAAGGAAAAAAAAAAAACCACCTCTACACCTTGTGACTTCTACCACAAACATTTGAGTTGCTTCTGGAAAGCCTAACAAGATGTTCTGTATCAGTTAAGCAATTTTGTATTCAAAAAGCCCCAGAGAAAGGATCAAGGGTGAACGCTATACTGTATTGAAGAGCTTCCAAAAGCTGCCATTAGTTCATTATGGCATTAATCAAGGTTATTCAGGGATTAATCCATCTCTCTCCTGATGCACAGATCATAGAGTCTAGATGAATTACAGGGATCTGAAATGAGCTGCAGAGACTTGGGAAGACTTACTGAGATGTTCACCCAAGCACTGAATATGCTCTTAGGAAAAACAGTCAGCATGGTGTCTTTTGTGTTGCCTTTCTGTGTATTTTAGCTCACACGTTTACAGCCTTTGACTTGGGAATCCTTGGGGGAGTTATACTGAAGGARGCTCTGCAAGATAACCAATAAAAGTGACTGGACTGTGACTGGCTAATTTGCTCAGCTTYCCCTGGAAAACAACGAAGGCACCAGAAACTAGAAAGGACTGGAAATCTGAATTTTTAATCAACTGCAATATTATGAATGAAGAAAGGACCAGCWTTTATACAGCCCTTATTGCTCTGAATAAAAAAACATTGTTTTGCCTTTGACAGGGTTGGGACTGCTTCCAGTGGCAAGTACAGGGTCTCACAGGCAGGACAATGACCGTCAAGATCTCCTCACCTATTCCATGTTGGTCCACTTTTCAGATGGAAACCAGCCTAGGTGAGTTCTCATTGCCCTCTACTGAACAGATGCTCTGGGCAGTGGCTGCCAGCAGAAGTATGAATGTAGTCGTGGTGTTAAAGCCAAGAAGGAGGACACTGAACTGGAAAAACTGAGAATGAACAAGGCCTTCAAAGTGTGCATTATGCTGACAGAAAAACAGAGATTATTTTGGTTTTACAAGAGGAAGATTAACAGGTGACTCAAACATAGTCTATAAATACTCACATGGAAAATCAACATTTCATAAGGAATGTTCCTAAACCTCACAACAAAGATAYAAGAGCCACAGAATAAACACTGCAAGTTAATAGAGACTAAGAACAGAGTGAAATGAATGTAATCAACCATGAGTGTAACTTTCCCAGACTTTGTGGTTAAAGCTGCCTCCCGCCATCCCCATTTTCTAGATGTAATTACTAAACCATTTTTTTCACCAAAAAAAAAAGGGGAAGAAGAAAAAGAAAATAGCTGAACAGAAAGGAATTCATTTAGGTGCTGTGGCCATTTTGACACGAGAGCAAAGAAGCTCAGCAGGACTCTTTCTATCTTTACAATCTCTGACGTCTCCTGCCAAAGRCTTCCAAATACCATCTTATTAGAGTCACCTCCGTGCTCTACCTCGTGAGTGTGAAGCAATGCATCCCCTTCCCTGACAGTCAAACTGCCCTGATGCTCATATGCTCATATGTCGTGATGTGCTGTCAACACAATCATCATGATACAATGAGAAACACATTAACCGAACTTAATAGCAAAACAAATATCAGGAAGAATACCACACAGACTGGCTTATTTTCTTATTCAAGTCATTCATTAAAGCACTCACCATTTTCTCACTTATCAGAGGTCACCATCAAATTTCCAGCTGCCACTAAATTTCCARGCACAACATAGCACTGATGTATCCACGAGGTCTTTTTGCCACAGAAATTAAGCCTCATTTGCGAGCTTTCCCCAGTGTCATATTAATCATTTTGACTGTCCTGATTTTATCACCAGAATCAAAATTTTCTTTCTTCCTGGTGAACATTTCTTTTAAAGCCATTTCGTTGTGGAAACAAAAAAATATTTACACAATGAGAAAGATGGATGATTGGATGACAAAATAAGTGCTTTTTAAATGCTCATTATACATCTCTTGGCATTGGCTGTCTCATTGTGAGCTACAGGCTGCAATCGTGGGGACACACAGTAGCTGTGTTTACATTGCTGCAAGAGACTCCTGATCCAACAGCATGAGTAGAAAAGCAGCACATGATCAAAAAAAAAAAAAAAAAAGTAGAAAAGCAGCACATGAAAAAAAAAAAAAAAAAAAAAAAAAAAAAAAAAAAAAAAAAAAAAGAAAGAACAACAGTAGAAAAAGTAATCCTGTACTTTCTGGCCAGCAACACTCACTGACTGCAAACAGCTGTGCCCAGAACACTTCTGGGGTTTGTTACAGTCCCTCTGCCTGAGGTCACCGTGTGTGCTCCTGTCCTGGATGGAGTGGCGTGAATACCTCACACCCCGGGGTGGCAGAGCTGGGGTTACCTCACTGCCTGGTGCTTTGTAGGGAGCAGTGGCAGGAGGTGAAGCACCACCACC